TCTAATGGACCACGAATGTGAAACAGCTTGTATAGTGGTTTCCAAAAAATCTATGTTACCTTTAGTCTAAACACAGTTAATAATAACCTTTATTTATTTATTTATTTATGACCTCAAAAACAGTTATAAAAACTCTGGTACCGAGGCCTATTGGCAAAACATACAGAAAAAAACTAAAATTAGGTAACAACTTATAACACAGTTCAACACGATTTTCCTCCCATGAAAAATTTTAACATATTTTAAAAATAAAGGTTAAAAAACGTCATTTAAATTTTTTACACAGCCATTCTTATTATTTTAACCTAAACAGATTTGTAATTCTCTATTTTGTTATAAATCATTTTTTTCTTAAAATATTTTAGGTTTTTAAATAATACAAAAGTTATACTTAAAGAAAATAACAATTTTAATTTTTTTTTTAATATTTCTGGATTTAATTTTTGATTTTTTATAATAAGAAAACATATTTGTATTTATCTTATATTAAATATGTGTTCGAAACAAATCTTGATCTTTTAGTTTGACGATTATAGATTGCTTTAAAATCTATAGTGGTATCACAACCTAAAAAACACCATTTGATATATAAGGTGTTTCATATTTGTGGTCCATTGGAAGTTTCTGGGGTAGGTAAAAAAAATCGATTTGAAATTTAAAAGCGTTTGTAATACATTTAAGTCTAATTTTTTTTTTAATATTTTGAACAAAATGTCACTTCCGGTTTTATCGGAACTTTGTTATTTCAAATAGAACACCCTATATATTTTTATATTTTGAAATTCTACATAAAATTACCTACTAAACCATTTCCTATACCCAAAGTAAATAGTTTTTGAGTTCCCTACACCCAAGTTAATAATTTCAGAGATATTTAACAATTACATCAATAGAAATGTTTTTTAATTTTCTATTTGATTATGTAAAAACATACAGGGTGTTTCATTTAAAATAAAAAAGTTATTAACGTTTCAAGTTCAGGCCTAATTTGCCCTGGGTTTTCTTGGGTAATTTGTTAAAAAATGTTAAAGAATTGACTTGGAATCTTTTAAACAATGTTTTAAGATTCCAAAAATTCCACCCACATTTCGGCAACCCTAATAGCAAAATATTTATAGGCTATTTTTGATTGACGCGTATGTGTAACATTTTAACGAAAAAAATTAAACTCGAAAACTATTCACTTTAGGTACAGTCGTATGCAAATAAAAGGCGTACAGCCTTAGAATGAGAGGTACTGCATTTGTCAAATATGGCGAGTTAGGTTATAAAAAATACAGTGCCATAGATTTAAACCAGCCGTCAATTAACAGTACCTCTCATTCTAAGGCTGTACGCTTTTTATTTGCATACGACTGTATAAGAAATGGTACAGTATTTTTACACCAAATTTTATGTAGAATTTAAAAATGTAAAAATATATGGGGTGCTCTATTTAAAATAACAAAGATGATGTCACTTCCGGTCAAACCGGAAGTTGCATTTTGTTTAAAATACCTATTTTAGAAAAATAGGCTTAAATGATTAATAAACGCTTTAAAAATTTCAAATCGATATCTTTTGCCGTTCCTCAGAAGCTTTTAATGGACCACGAACGTAAAACACCCGTATTTCGTAAATGTGCTACACCCTGTATATAATTAAAACAATTTTAAATAAATGACGTGATCTGAAAGAACTCCGAGACACGGGTATCATTTTTTTAAGTCTATTTTCAAAATCTATGAGAATTTTTTATGGGAGGGAAAAAATCAAATTTTGTCATACTGTGTAATATAATAAAAAAAGATAAAAACTGCGATTCTAAGCTAGTAATAAAATATAAATATAAATCATATATGAATCATAACAAAGAGATAAAATATATCATATCTTTATGTATGCAAACAAGTTTAAGAAAAATATCCAGAGATCAGATATGCCTTTACTTTCACAATAAAACTATTCCATTTGTCTATTTGTTTTCATTCTTGCGGGAGTCTATTATAAACTCCTAAAATAAGCTAATTAAGGGGTATATGATATTTATGGAACCACTAAAAAAACAAAAATGTTTATTGGGGATCGTGTTTTCATAAAAACTGCTATTAGATGAATGAATGAATTATTTCATCTTCTGAGTTGGGTCGTTTTCAAAAAACACCCGCCTTCCGCTGTCCGTAAGTTTGAATTCCAATAACTTTGTTAAAAATTATCGGATCTTATTAATTTAAAAACCAAGTGAAAGCCTAACAAGCCCTTAGTAAACTTTTTCAGAAAATGTTTGTTTAGTTATTTCAGAATAATTTTTTTCTACTCCTATTACGGAATTTGACCGTTCTAATATCACTTTTATCTATGGAATGACATATATTCCGTAAAGTGTTACAGAATGAAATATTCTATCATCTGATGACAGAATAAACACTCGTGGCGACATCTCTGTTTTTAATATCTAACAAACTTTAGACCGATCCAACCTCACTTTCTTCCAATTAAATTATTTTTCTATGGTATTTTTTGGAAACGTAAAAAAAGTATAGTCTGAAACACGTTTGGAATTGCATATTCCGCTCTCGTGAAACCGTCAAACTCGCCTTCGGCTCGTGTGACGAACTCTTCACTCGAGCGGAATATGCTGTATTTCAAACTTGTTACAGAATATACTATTTTTTAATTTTGAAACTTGTGAAACACACATTTTCGCATGTCCCATTAGCGTTTTATAAAACTTACATACATGTTTTTTTTAAATATTGAATAACCAGAACTCTGTGTTGCTTTAGTCGTTTTTTCGCGTAAATACTATGAAATACTACGGTTAAATAAGTCATGACGTCACAGTTAATTCATATAACCATGGTTAGGTTTCTAACATTTGACATTTGTTACTTGTTCATAACCTATAATTTTTAAAATGTGTTTTTACCTATTTATATTTAATTTCTATGCTTTTACAGGTGTAAATAAATTTCTTTGCCTCTTCTTTTACCTTGTATATTCTTTTTCTATGAACCCTAGTTCTTATACCTACCTTTTCTATACCTCTTTTTATATATAAACAGTTCTTCACTGTTGTTTACCATAATTAAAATCCAACAGTGTTTAGGGTTTATACGAAAATTATTATTGTGAAACTCAAAATTTAGAATGGAACCCCAAAGAAAAAGACGAAGGTTGGCGGTATGTTTTGGAGAAGATATGTTTAGCACACAACATTACCTACATAAACATATTAAATATATATATTAAAAAGAGAAAGACTATTAACCACGTTGAATAACTAGCTCAGCGATATAGTTTTATGGTCTGGTATTTGTGACGTCATAGTTAGGATTTTTTAACGCACTCTAAACGCAAAAATGCCTTAACTATTAACCAACTATTAAAAAGAGAAAGACTATTAACCACGTTGAATAACTAGCTCAGCGATATAGTTTTATGGTCTGGTATTTGTGACGTCATAGTTAGGATTTTTGAACGCACTCTAAACGCAAAAATGCCTTAACTATTAACCAAGGTTAAGTTTAATGACCATAGTATTTCATGGTATTTACGCGAAAAAACGACTTTTATAGCAATCCATAACATCCTTAGTTAATAAAGTAAACAATTTATATATAAATTAATTAATTTTAATCTACTTTTTTTTAAATTTGACTCATGTCACAGACATTTTTTCCGTTGCGTTACGACCGTCGCGTTACCGATAGAATATAAAAAAAAACACATATATGGCAACTTTTTTGACACTCACGTGATTAACAAATGATGTTCGGACGTACACATTTTCCAGCTGAATTTATTTATTCAATCAGGAAGAAGATATCGGTTGAAACAGGTGCGGGTAACGCGAATGTAATAATTGTTTGTCCGCTAAGTTACTCAAAAAAATAATAAAAATAAGATAAGAAAAAATACTATTTTTCATGTTTATGTTTATTTTAGGGCACTAAAGCTCATTGAGAGTAATTATAATTATAATGACTGTAATGTTTTATTATTATTATTATTATTTAAATATGGTTTCACAAAACTTTGTCCTCTGCGTTACCGAGTCCATTACGTTACCTTATGGTAACGCAATGGAATTTAGGGTAACGCAATATAATTTTTCGACAACAAAGTGGATATTTACCGTCGCTTTTATTAAAAGTAGTTTATGATAAACCAATTTAAAATTATTTGTGATTACAACTAGTCAAAGAAAAAGGGTGTCTATAATTTAGAAATCTTAGTTGTTATTCTGCAAGTGAGCACCACTACAAGGGATTTTGTTTATACATTACTCTCATACCACCCTATAGTTTCTTTTTTACGTTATCTGATTAAGTCCTTTGTGTACCCCAGTCCGTTGTGATACCAATGTCTATTTCGTTACTTTTTTTAGTTTTTGTTAAAAAAATCCTTAAAATGATTTTACTATCACTTGGTAATACCTGTTTATAAATTAGAGTTTAACTCACTAATAGTGACTAAATGAAAATATTAATGGTATTGTTTTTTTAACAAAGAATCGGAATGGTGTCTTTTAAAAAGTAACTTAAGTAACATAAATATTTAAAAAAAGGCATACAATTTTTAATAAAAAATAAAATTGGAGTCAAAAGTTTGTGAACCAAGTACATTTTATTTCAAATTATTCTTATAACAATTTTTTTTATTGAATTAAATTTTGGATTTCAAATTGGTAACACAGTGGAGACATATAAAGCTAGCCAAACACATTTTTCTGAAAAAAAAAACGTTAAAAAAATTAAAAAGTGCACTGCCAGTCTTAAATGTAAGTAAACAAAACTCTAAACATTTATAAAAATCCAACCAAAAGTCAATTTAAGCAAAAAAAAATTTTGATCTTCATTTTCCTAAAAGCGGGTGTTTCTTGAAAATGACCCAGTTACACAATGGGGCCAAGTTAACTAAATATTTAATAAGTCTAAAACTTGTCATTTTTTTTGTTATCAAATTATGTTCAAAATGGCGTTTCCTATCTTCAACCTAAATTATTTTTAAAAGCTTACCAAAGTTTCTGTTAAACCTCCCACACTACATATTAAACCAATCATTATTGAATAAGAATAAGGTGGAAATTGAAGTAGTTGGACGAATTTGGGAAATGTGGCAGCAGCGGAGTTCCAGTTTAGGGCATCACACTCTTCTTTAGGAAATATTGTAAGAAGTTCATTTAAAAATGAGATGTTTTCTATAGCAGGTTCGCTGAAATAAAATTACATTTAAAAGGCAAACTTTTTTAAATGTTGAATTCAACTTACATGTGAAGAAAACTATAAAAGACTCTGCCTGCCAATGCACGGGTCCTGTCGATTTTCTCGACCGCCTGTTGAGTAACTTCGGCGATAATTTTGGTCGATAAACTCTCAGTCAGAAGAGTTTTTCTATGTTTTGCCAATAAAATAGTTAAAACTTGGATACCGGTCATTGAAGCTTCGCGCATCCACGCACCGGTATCTCCCCTTTTATCCTTGGTGTAGTCCTTCAGACCCTCGAAAAATGTGTCGTAGATTTTGAGAATTCTATCGTCTGAAAAATCTGAAAAAATACCGATAATTATAACTATAATATTATCAATATTTTTAATCATAAAGTTTATTCATGTTTCATAATCCCACGAATTGTGAATTTTTTACAACAAACCTTTTCCAATATCCTCGGCCATTGTAGCACAAATAGCAGTTAAAGCTTTAACGGCATCCCGTCTACTCTCGGCCCATTTCAAAGTGGTTTGGTTAATTTCAGTCGATTTTATCAAGGACTTCACCACAAAGTCCAAATTGCTCAGCAACATAAATTTCGGGAGTACCCCAAGGGCCAAAGCTGTGCCCATTCTGTTCACCTCTTCGTTCGTCGACTCCAGATGCGTTACGTAAAACTTGATGATTTCCGCGTGTCGTGGTTGTTTATCATCGGAAACGTAATATTCACGAAGTAAAACTGGAAGGGCGCTGATGGCGTTTGTTCTTATATTTACGACTTTGTATAGGATACAATCGTTCAATAAGGACAGCCATTGTTCTGAAAGCACATTTTAAATTTTGTATAAAATCAATATGATGACTTTTTATGGTGTACCTATAATTGCATCATTGTGGAAAGGTAATGAAGCCAGACTGCATTTTTCTATAAAATCTGAACATGCTTGTTTCATTAGTTCTCCACCCAAACCACGAAAGTAAAATTTCTCATAAAAACTCGGAATTAGATTTTTGGTGGATTTTATCAATTTCTCTGTTAAAATTGTATTCATTGATTCATTTTTATGAACCTTTGAAAGCGAATGTAGAATTTCGCCGATGGCCAAGACTGCACCATGTCGAGCATTTAAATCGATTGAGGTTGTTTTAGTGAAAAGTGCTGGTAAAACGTTATCTACCATATATTTTGGAGCCTAAAATATATGTTAGAGACAATTTATTAGTAGGTAAAAGATTAAAAAGTGAGTTGTGTGGAATCAATAAAATATACGTTTTATTCTTTTCGTATTTCTATCATTGTGCTTGGTTGCAAAATTTGCATGTTCTGTATTAAAACGGTATAATAAAATCATCTTTGTTTTGAGAACCCGACATATACCGAGTGCTTTTATTATAATAATAATATTTATTGGTCTAAAGATCATATACAGGGTGTCCGGGAAAAGGAGGTCAATCCGTTAACCATATATTCCTTGAGTTAAAACAAGACTTTCATAATACCATTTTTCAATTTAGAGCTTCATGTTCGATATACAGGGCGACAAAGTTTGAAATTTAAAACTGATTTTTTTAAATAATTTGAGTAATTGATAAGATATTAAGTTCAAATTCGGTACACTACTTCAACATAAATAGTTACATTTTTTGAGACCAACACAACAAAAAACAATTGCCAAATAATCAAAATAGGGGGGTCCAGTACTCACTGACCTACCATCTCCGATTTTGATAATTTTTGGTAAATTTGTTTATCTCACTAAAAAACTCAAAAATCCCATATATGAATTTTTTTCGGTGATTTTTGTTTTATTGATTTTTGAAAATTTTGATTTATCAAAAAATTCCGATAAATTTGGGTCTTGCAAGTACTTACAAAAATAGTGATATCTCGTAAACTATTAAAAGTAGAAAGGTGAGTGATGGCTTATTTTAAAGGCCTATTAGAGACCTTTTTTATGATATATCACATGACCTAAATTTTTTCAAAAAAAAATTAAATTTCGAAAATTTGATATGGAGTGACCCATACTTTACAAATTATCTCTAAAACAAATCATTTTATCAAAATTTTATAAGAGACAAAAAATTTTCAACAATAAATGATTACCTGAAAAAATACCGTTTGGAAGTCATTGGCGCACGTACTAAAAAATAGGGGGAGTCAGTGAGTACTGTTTGTTTTTTATTTTGTTGGTCTCAAAAAATGTAACTATTTATGTTGAAGTAGTGTACCGAATTTGAACTTAATATCTTTTCAATTACTCGAATTATTAAAAAAAATCAGTTTTAAATTTCAAACTTTGTCGCCCTGTATATCGAACATGAAGCTCTAAATTGAAAAATGGTATTATGAAAGTCTTATTGTTTTAACTCAAGGAATATATGGTTAACGGATTGACCTCCTTTTCCCGGACACCCTGTATAATGATATAAGACAAGCCTATACAACATTCAAAAAAAAAAGTATAACACTTTCTAACTATATCTAATATCAAATCCGGATTTATACATGTCAATCAATAACACTGTGAAACAAATATTAGAAATGTTCCCCAACACCAAAACAAAACACAAAGTGCTTAAAGTACTTTTCGCCAACGATGTTGGCATCTTCAGAAGCGAAGTGTAACTAAATGCTAAATCTACCATATGAGTATGTACGAGTATGGGAACGTATGGCGTGTCTGTTGGATCCGAAGTTTTTACACCGGCTGGTAAATCCGCCCTAGGAGGTCGTGGATGACAGTGTCTATGGTTAAGGCCGCTCCACGGATTTTTGTCAGCCGGGTCGGGCGATACGTCCAATTTTGGCTAGAGTAGTACGGGATAAGGAGGGCTAGTGGGGGTTTTTGGAGGACATTGAACTGACCCAAAACTAAGTACAATCCGGAATCCTCCTCAACCTGGGACTTAGTAATAACCCCATTCAATTGGGATTCATGAATGGGGGTAGAAGTGTTAGTACGCTGCTAGAACCTGTCCTTGTTGGTGTATTTCTGAACGTCTCTGTCTGAGTCAGTTTTAGGTTCCTGGTAACCTCTTTAGAATTGTTTGCCCCCGTGTGAGATACTGAGTCTTGTCTTCCGTACCGAAGTGTTGGCGGCCATGACCCACCGTAAGTGCACTCTGCCTTGGTGGATATTCCTTATGCCGAGTGCCGACTACCGATCTTGTATATTCTTTATTTATTTTATTGTTAAATTAGTGTTACACCGTTTTCATTTAATTTATATCTTTGCATTCTTATTTTTTTTCCAAATTTAATTTAAAAATATAAGTATTAATATACAAAATATATAAAGCCGGCCCTGCAGTGTACGTAATTGAAATACGGCCATATCACCGACATTGGCTATTGAGAGGGTCGTTCTTCTTATCTTCTGTGATGTTCTTGTATATTTTTTGAGCTTTTGTTTATTTGGCTTTGATTTATGGTCTGGTATCTTAAATGCATATACAATATTATACCTATTCACACACACAACACTTATTTATGATCTAGTTTTTTGTCCTCCTGCTTGATTTGGTTTATTTACTTTTACGCCTTTTTCATTTGGTTAAGTTGTTTATGGTTTGTCTACACTGAGAAAATGAGGTTTTAAGTTTAACACTTACGGAAATGTTATGTATTTTTAAAATTTAGTTTTTGAAACAAATAAAAAGAAATCTTAGACAAACAATCAGAGTGCTTCTATTAGAGATTTTTCATTATTTACTGTCTGAACCGCTTTATTGAAATCTTTGTACATTTTTGTAGTAGTAAAAATGTATATTCAAAAACTGTACGAGTTTAATTTAAAGACTGTAGGTATCATTCGAGACTTTTAAATAAACAATTATGCGCATTGGTCGTATTGAATGTGCCAAAAACTGTTCAGTTAATTAAAACTTGAAATAGTTTACTTTTGTCAGTGTAGGTACCTGTTTGATTTCTGAAGCCAGATAACATTTTCGGCAACATTGCGAATTTGCGTATATAAGTTTTTAACGATTAAATTATATTAGAATCGAATTGGTACTGTTATTAGGTCATGCAATTAGGAAAATTACTTAGCTGGACTAGTTGATTCTGATTTCCTATCCCTAGCGGACAGACCGTGTTCCTTGGCAATTGCCGATTGTGGTGACTATACAGGTGATCGGGTGTGATCAGGTAGCTTATCGGTGTGACCTAACCTTATTCACTCACACAAATTTTAACGACGCTATAGCACTTTGTGACTTAACCGGGGGACACCCGCACTTTTCAACTTATTATTATTTCCTTTCTTTTTGCACTTGAATCTGTTATCACGTGTAGAATCGATATTGATTTTTTTTTGTTTGAACTTTAGCGGTGATGGCACTGTAAGTACGGCCGCTTATCGAGACCCCAACTCAACTCAACCGCTCGGCTCAAGACTCGCTGCGTCACTGTAAATGCTAAATCTACCATATTTATACTAATTATAAGCTAAGGTTGACTGAACCGTAAACGTCAGTTTAGCTTATAATTAAGTAGTATAAATATGGTTGATTTAGTATTTAGATTTAGTTACACTTCGCTTCTGAAGATGCCAACATCGTTGGCGAAAAGTATTTTAAGCACTTTGTGTTTTGTTTTGGTGTTGGGGAATATTTCTAATATTTGTTTAACATAATATTAAAATATATTAATAAAAAAATATTTCTAATATTTGTTTAACATAATATGTTAAATAAATATTAGAAAATTATCACAAAAGTTGTCCTTTTTCAAGAATAACACTGTGCGAGAAAATTTTATGAAAAAAAAATTGGGTTAGGAGAATTTGTTTAATGAAAGTGACCACTGACACGCCGAGTCGTGTTTTATATCTATTAAATTATTGGCACGCCACGTGTCTTTATTGAACAAAATTTATTATTAAGGTTTTATAAGGAGCTTGGGCGGGCTTGGTTAGTACCTCAGCACTGGTTCGATTCCCGGTGGCGTCATAATATTTTTAAAATTTTGTCTGTCTCAAAATTACTCCATTTTATTCACAAAATAACTTAATACAATTTGTCACTACTTTTTAATTTTTTTTCTCTCTGTGTGATTTAATAAAAATACTTTTAGAAAAAAAAAATTAAACGCTCTATTGTGTGGAATAATTTATGAAATCATAATAATAGGTCTTGTTCAATATAAAAACGAGGCTTTTAGATAAAAGAAACGAAGCGTCGTGGCGGTAGGCTCATTCTTGTTTAATACCTATTAATCTTGTACTTATTCATCTTTTACATCATGAAGCCTAAACAAGGACTTAATAGGGAAAATTGACATTACTTTATAAATACGAAATAAAAGATAATCCAACGCACACTACTACACATTTCTTGTAACATCTCTGTAAAGATTCATTTTAGTTATAGGGAATGCTGCAGCATTTCAATAGAAAACATTATTTTGTGTATGTGGAAATTGTATGGTAGTTTCGTTTCAAATAAGAAAGTTATTGGTATTTAAAGTGACAAAAAACGTAAATACCAGATACTCTGTATGAAAATGGCTTTTGATAGAGTGATCCTTAGTTAACAAGTACACCAAAAATTAACATTTTAATTCAGTGGTAATACAAACATATTAGTAAGACCATCCATTTGTCAAAATTATTGAAAAATATTAAATATCTCAAAAACTTTTTAAGATAAAAAAACAAATTTCAGTATTTCTAGAATTTTATATGGAATTTAAAAATGCAATAATATTTAAATGGTCCTATTTAAAGAACCGAAGTTGATATCACTTCCGGTTTAACCGTTCTCCATAAACTTCCAATGAATAAGTTAGGTGAATCACCCTGTCTAGTCTGAAAAATTGCCCCCTAAAATTATTTTATTACAATAAATTATTTTTAATGTTAACCTCATTCCATTTTATAATAAAAAAATAATTATTTCAAAAAATTGTATCCCTTTTTTTTTGGGCTATCAGTTTATTGTATAAGACAAAGATTATGTGTATTATCTTTGGTATAAGACCGTTTAGTAGTGAAAGGGTTAAATTTGAGGTTAGACAATATCTGTCACCTAGACATACAAATTTCAAGGTTGTCGTCAAAAAGTGGGGTTAGACAGCAACTGTCACTGTAACGTGCAAAAAAATTTGACGTTTTCTTCGTAATCTGTCACCTGTCAAAGTGTTAAATGATATTTTGTTGAGCCCCCCTGTATATGGCTGCTTGTATTTTTGTCACTGTCCAAATTTTTAGGTTGACATTTCTCAAAAAAATAAAAAGTACAATCCTGATTAAATCGCCCGCGCTTAAGTTAACTTGTTCCCAGTCGTACGGCTGATGTCTTAAAATGTATAAGAGTAGACATCTATTCCTCTTTTATCTAGAATTATTTGAATTATATAAAACTGTATTGTCCCCAGCACTAAAAGTTTGTACAAAAGCTTGTAAAAATCACAAAACATATTTTTTTGTAATACTATATTAATTTTTTCTGGTTCAAACCTTAAGGTTTGAATTTATATACTTTTTTCTTGCAGGGTCAGTCCATGTCAACTCAACACACCCATTTTACCACACCACCTCAGATTTTCTTAAAATTTGATATACTTATACTATGTACTAAGACTAAGAAAAATACCAATTTTTAAATTTTTATCTCACACCGTTTCCGATATATGGCTATGTAAAGTTTTTAAAAACTCGCGAAAAAAGTGAACGTGTATTTTTTAAATTGCTCTGGAAGCTGTCCTAATTCAGCTAGAACGCTGGGAGAGGTGTCATTTTGCAGCATTTTAAATGCTCTTTCAAATGACATACGAACGCCAAGGGTATTAATGAAAAGATTTTGTTCAAAATCCATATATATATTTTGATTCAATTTTTTTTCAAAAAGTACATAATTTAAAATTCTCAAAATATTTGTATAAATACTTAGTACTGTTTTAAACCATATAGTAAAATATAAATGTGGGGTCTTAATGGGTTCATGTTAAAAAAAATATTTGTGATGCTGGTTTTTCACTTAACTAATTTTGACAGTTTCGTTACATCTTTCCTGCGGGTATGACAAATCATGGAGCCAATAGGCATTTGTGGAAATAATCCAGTCATCCATGCTGTTACTTTTCTCAGTTTTTTTCTGACTCTAATAAAATGATTTGTTTTTTCATTGGATTATAACACTGCACTATTACAATAGTAGGCTCCATGTTGACACCAAAATCACTTTAAACACACCTCATTTATAGTTTTATTTTTAAATAAACTACGATAAAAGTTCCCTGAATTTTTTTTAAGCGAGTTTAAAATTTATCAATAAGGTTTTCGCGGAAATTGTTTGCTCGAGCAGGTTCCTAGAACCCTTTTAATTCTGAAAATATTCATTTTATGTTGTTCTGTTTAAAATTTAGTTGAATATGAATCGCCAAAAAAAGCGTATCACAGTAATTGAATTAAAAAAGTCGGGAATGTAGGCAGCCGATATTATTAGGGTTCTTAGAACCCTTATATTTTTGAAAATATTCATTTTATGTTGTTTTGTTTAAAATTTAGTTCAATATGAATCGCCAAAACAAGCGTATCAGTAATTAAATTACACAAGTCGGGAATGATGACAGCCGATATTATAAAAAAAAAAATACAATTGTCAGGCTTAAGCCTGATAAACGTTGAATAATGTCAAAATTAGTGAAAAGTGAAAAACCAGCATCAGAAATATTTTTTTTAACAATGAACCCATTAAGACCCCACATTAATATTTTATTATATGATTCAGAACACTACCAAGTATTTATACAAATATTTTGAGAATTTTAAATTATGTACTTTTAAAAAAAAAATTAAATCAAAATATATATATGGATTTTGAACAAAATCTTTTCATTAATACCCTTGGCAGTCGTATGTCATTTGAAAGAGCATTTAAAATGCTGCAAAATGACACCTCTCCCAGCTTTCTAACTAAATTAGGACAGCTTCAAGCGCAATTTAAAAAATAAACGTTCACACTTTTTTCGCGAGTTTTTAAAAACTTTACATAGCCATATATCGGAAACGGTGTGAGATAAAAATTTAAAAATTGGTATTTTTCTTAGTCTTAGTACATAGTATAAGTATACCAAATTTTAGGAAAATCTGAAATGGTGAGGAAAAATTTCTTTTTAAAGTGTGTTGATTTGGCATGGAATGGCTCTGCACTGTACTGTGTACACCTGTAATCATTTATTTTACCTAGAAAGTTTTTGTAGTTGTTGGTATTTTTCATGAAACTACTTTTGTGTGGCATGTTTGATTTAAATCTAGACAACTCAAACAAGTTTTTTATAAAAATTATAAAAAACATGTAAAAATGTACAAAAAACCTTTTTTAGCTCCTAAACAAATTAATTTTTCCAAAAAACATCAGAATTGAATAATAATATTTTGTCTGAAAAATATTTAAAATATAACAGTATTCTTAATTAAAATAATTTGTAATCAAATTGTTTAAATCCCCACTTGACATATTAAATAATATATATATTTCTTACCATTGGAGTTAGGTTGTGCAAAGCTTTGGCTGTCAATTCCCTGATGGGACAGTCCCAATGGTCCACTTTTCTAGCCACCAAATGGTCGATCATGGGATAAGTGTATTCCTCGAATTGGGCTATGAAAACGCTTATGTTCAGATACGCGTTGTTTCTAACGCTTACAGAGAAAAAATCTGCGGTTGTTAGTATATCAATTCCGTGTGGAAAAGTGCCTTGTCTACCCACGTTTTCTTGGAAAGCTGCTGAAGCAGCCCTTCTACAGTTTATCTATAACAAGAAGAAAACATGTAATTCTTTATATTATATTGTAGAGTCTCCTGAACTTACTTCTTTGTCAAAACATGTTACAACCAACAAAGTTCCAGCAATGTCGTTTACATAAGGAGCCAGGACATCAGATTCGTAAGCTCTAGCAAAAGCCCAGCAGACATAACAAGCAGCGTCTCTTATATGAGAACCAACTGAAGAATAACCTCTGGGTTCGTCGTAAACCAAAGCTTTTAAAACTAAAGGCACGACTTGCGGTAACCGTTCTGGAAGCAACAAGCCTCTTCTACCTGAGGATGTAAATTAAAAATTAAAAAAATTTCACAAAATTTGTTAACTGTGTAAGAGTACCCAATTCTGCGAGAGAAATACAACCACCATGCCAGGCGCCATCTCCTTCCCTAGGACTAAAAAGTTCCAATACGGAACCAACCACTTCATCACCTAATTCCTTTGGTAACCTTCCTGTTACCCTGCCAATGCCTTTAGCAGCTGACCACCTAAAATGTTAAAGTTTAACATGTTTAATTTAAATAAACTCAAGATAAAAAGTTTCGCCAAACTTTAGATGGCACCTTCAAAATTGTTTTTGTTATAATGTAAATTAAACAAATATTAGGAATATTCTCCAACACCAAAACAAAACACAAAGTAATTGAAGTACTTTTCGACAACGATGTTGGCATCTTCAGAAGCAAAGTGTAACTAAATCAAACTGCTAAATCTACCAATCTACTAACAAACTAATTTATACAAACTAGAGTTGGGTACCGGTCCGTTATCGCTATTTAACTTTCATAACTATCTAGCAGACTTGGTTCCCTAACTTCCTTAATAAGTTTAAGGTTGTCAAATCCTATTCTATGACCATCATCAAGTATATGTATGTTGGGCAACACTCGGTTTCTCTGTCCTACCAAATCTAGCATGGAAAGATCGTTAAGTTTGGCTCTGTTAACGGTAAACGACTTTTCAAACAGAGCCCACAAAATTCAAGTTTATGACTATTTATTTCGAACCCCAGTACACCCGAGGTCTGGAAGGAATTTTTCGAAAACTGGACTTTAAAATTGCTTTTAGTTCAAGCAGTAACACACTTCAGACCCTTTTAGGCAACCCCAAAGATAAGATTCCTAAAATTTAAAAGGGATCTACGAAATAAATATCATAATATGGTCTAGAATCTAGACTCTAGATTGTGACAAGAAATATGTTGGACAAACTAAACGATACACCAAGTAAGGTTCAAAGAGCACTACGTTGATTCTATTGTAAAGGTGGATGAAAAAGTTTATGAAATTAAAATTATTGGTTTAGAAGCAGGAGATAATTCAATAACCATTTTTTATGTTGTCGAAACCGATATTATAATATGGTTATATTATATAACTATAGTTATATTGTCATCAGTGGCGTAGCTAGCCTCGAGGGGGCCCCGTATCAAAAATCTGGTAGGGGCCCTTATACGCCCAAGGTCTATTTTGGGCAAACAAAAAAAAAATTTTTGGGTAAATTTTTTTTGCATTTACCAGTTTTTTATAATTTAATAAATAATAAATGTATACATGGCTTTTTAGATACAGGCAAATTTTAAAATTTGGTCTGGTTTTAGACATTTACCGTTCTTCAACATCTTTTATAAGGTTACTATTTTAAAATAAAGGCAAGTCATTTGAAATAATTGTAACCCTAATAATTATTTTTAATTTGCTATTAAAATAACCTATGATAATAACACGCAAAGCAGACTCAGTATGCGGCGCAGAGCTAAGACCAAGATGCGCAGACTGCGCCGCAGACCACGCATAGCGGAAAGGTGCGGGCAGAAACAATACGTATGAGTTCACGGCCTCGTTGGAACAGGAGGGTATTCAGGAGAATTTTAATTTAATAAATCGAAGTATAAACATATAAATAATAATATTATTTATTAATTTAATTTCATGCCTCAATTTTTTTAACATGTGGATAATATGTTTTTTGCTTACGCATGACGAAGCCAATCAACAGATGGCGCTGTAATTCAAAATTTAAGAAAAAGGGGTTTCCTTGTAAAATGTATTATTTGAAACGTTTGAAAAACAAAATTAACATTAAATCAACAATAGTCGGCTCTGAAAACAATTTATAACAAATGTTCGAAATGTCGTACTTCCATTTCGACACCAAGTGGAGCACCAGCGTCCCTGGTCGGTAAACGTTTGGTGCGCTACCTTAAGCGAACGATTAATCGGACCCTTCTTTATTGACCGTGCATTAAATGGCGAAAAGTACCGGAATTTTCTAGAAAACGATCTGACGGACCTTTTGGAGGATGTACCACTAGCACGGCTCCAAAACATGTGGTACCAGCAAGATGGTTGTCCTGCACATTATTCGACAATTGCTCGAGAGTTGTTGGATCGGGAGTTCAATGGCCGGTGCACCGCGGTGGATCGGTAGACGTGGTCCAGTAATTTGGCCTGCTCGATCACCTGATCTTACGCCACCAGACTTCTTCCAGTGGGGTTACTTGAAAGAAAAAGTTTACGCTGCAATTCCTACAACTTGGGAGGACATCGTGGAGCGGATCAGGAACGCCTGTGCGGCGATACCGCACGATATGTTGGCGCGTTGTGTGCCAGAATTCATTACCCGCATTCAAAAATGTGTTGAAATGGAATGACGACATTTCGAACATTTGTTATATATTGTTTTCATAGCCGACTATTGTTGTTAATGTTAATTTTTGTTTTTCAAACGTTTCAAATAATACATTTTACAAGGAAACTCATTTTTCTTAAATTTTGAATTACAGCGCCATCTGTTGATAAATTGAAAAAAGTTTTAAATAAAAGTTATTTATTTTTTTATGTACTACCAAACTCTGTGAAAAAAATCGGGTCATTCCATTTGACTTTCCAAAGTTACCCCCCGTTTCACCCTTAAGGAGGGGTAGGGGGTGGCTAGCGGTAGCACCAAATAATGTCCCCTTTAGTCACATTAACCTTTTATTTAAAACATTTTTCCGTGAAATGCGTATTTCTATTGATATTGAGCTGTCTCAAGTTAAAAGAAACACCCTGTACATATAGTCTACAAAATAATTGTTTACATTTTCTCTGTAAGGCAGGTATGAGGTAAATGAAAACATGACACACGATTTTTTTCTTCCAAAAGTTAACTAAAAACTTTATGTAAAAATATACGGTCTTTAAATTGTTTAAAAAATGATGTTAATTTTATATGTTTGCATAAGTGTATCAAAACTATTAAAATTGGTCCACACTTACCCCAACTGACCCTATTGTTTTTTTTAAAATCTGCATTTGCAGTAACCACACATCTACCTTAGGGTATGCACTTTTAATTGACATAAAAATAAAATTGTCATTGAAGCCCATTCAAAAAATAGGGTGTATTTGATTAAAAAAGATTAATAAGGAATTTTTTAATTGACATAAAAATAAAATTGTCATTGAAGCATAAAATGCAATTAATTTGGCTTTGGTGGTGCTTGGATTTTCGCGAAGCTAATCCCGAACTAATTAAAAAAATAGGGTGTATTTGATTAAAAAAGATTAATAAGGATTTTTTTGTCGAAATTGGATTTTGTCATCATCTGAAATTACTACTTGCCCTGCTTTAAAAAAAACATTTTTAGCTATGCATTTTTTAAAGAATGGCTTAAATAACTTAGTGCGCAACTTTCGAGACATTCTGTTTGACGCTTGACAGATGCACAAAATAATAAAGGTTAAAAAATACCCCCTTTATCTCTGCAAATGATAGGAGGGAAGATGCGCAGAAGTCAATTTTGCGTTCTCGGTTATCGTACACGTGCGACATTCTTAGCACCGCGAAAACACCTAATATTTATAAAACCAAATTCGTTACTTTTTTTCTCCAAAAATGTCTATAAGGCGATGTACTTTTTCTTCCATTGTGGCATTTGGCATAATTTCATCAAAATGAAGTTTTGCCCTCAAAAGGGCTTTTACATTCGAATTCGTTGCTATTACTTTTGGCATAATTATCTTTTTATTTATAATTGACAAGTAAATTATCAATAATAAATATTATTGTCAATTTAACAGTGTCAAAGTATTTAATTAAATTCTTTAGCAGAAGTACCATTTTTAAATTCTAAAAATACTAAGAAACTGGCATAAGCCACCAACCTAACAAAAAAACACGAGCCAGATAAAAAAAATGAACTGTATGTAGTAGGGTGATTCAAAAAAGCCTTTTTTTAAAAATGAACCCGCACTGGCCTAAATTATAAAGATTACATTAAAACTAAAATATTGATACCAAAAAATCCAAATTCGATGAATATTTAGAGGTCGCTCAAATCAATTTTCGTATTTTTGCACATTCGAGCCGCGAAATTTTTACTGCACAAAATAGTAAATAACTTCGTTAGTTTTTAATCGATATTATTAAAAATTTAAGGGTTACCTAGTTTTTTAATACCCTCTGAGACAATGTATTGAACTTTACAGAAAAATATTTTTTTTTCATGAAAAAAAATAATTTATTAATAAAAACGTATCATCTTATAAAATAAGCAATAATTGGAATCGCACTATGATGGTACCGTAAAAAAACTAAGAAAATAACACTTAAATTATTTAGTATACAGAAAACCTGCCGAAAGAAATATTTTATTTGATTTATATAAAATATAACCTAAAAATAATTAAGTAATTTAGATTTTTTCCATTTTCAAACGATTTTATAAATAATTTATATCCGTTTTATTAATTATGACGTATTTTTATAATATTTCTTTATTTTTGATACCATATTTAATTAATTACACTAGGTAGTTATTAAATTAGGTCCTTTTTACAACTAAAATAAAATAACGTTAACTACAAAATTATTCACTCCATTAAGCAAAAATTTAAATTTTATTAAAATTATTCACATACAACAATTCTCAAATTTTGATACCAAAATTATTTGATTCTGTCTAGAAGTTGCTAAATTGACATACCACAATAATAATTATTATTCTTAAATTTTGATAGTAGGACCTACTACCAGGTAGTTGATAAATTATATAAATATATATATATATATATATATATATATATACATTAGGGTGCTTCAAAAAAATTTTCGCTCTTACCCTCTCAAATGTTTTTATTTAATATAAAGAAAATCCTGACCAAATATGAGCGTTCCAGCTCAACTCTAAGAGGTCGATGTTTTTATTTTAGTTTCCCATTGAATTAACATGGGAAAAAATAATTTTATATTTGGAATTTTATACCTCTGTATCAAAGTAACTTATGGCAATGATTATTGCAGTTTCTTATATAAAATTTAACGCTCTACAAAAAGGGTCTCTTTATTTTTCGATAAATTGATTTCTTCTAGAGTTATTCGAGGTCAAAGTTTGATTAACATCAAATTTTCTGTTTTTTTTTTTTAATTTTTTGGTAAAATTAGCAGACTTGAGGTGGAAGTTTGATTAACATGGGGCACCCCATTTTGCCCCCCCCCCCGCTGCCTTGTTTTGCCCCCTTTCACCTCCCGTCTGCTAATTATACCATAAAATTAAAAAAAAACAGAAAATTTATTTGTTAATCAAACTTTGACCTCGAATAACTCTAGAAGAAATCAATTTATCGAAAAATAATAAGAGACCTTTTTTGTAGAGCGTTAAATTTTATATAAGAAACTGCAATGATCATTGCCATAAGTTACTTTGATACAGAGGTATAAAATTCCAAACATAAATTAATTTTTTCCCATGTTAATTCAATGGGAAGCTAAAATAAAAACAGCGACCTCTTAGAGTTGAGCTGGAACGCTCATATTTGGTGAGGATTTTCTTTATATTAAATAAAAACATTTGAGAGGGTAAGAGCGAAAATTTTTTTGAAGCACCCTAATGTATATATATATATATATATTTATATTTATATAATTTATCAACTACCTGGTAGTAGGTCCTACTATCAAAATTTAAGAATAATAATTATTATTGTGGTATGTCAATTTAGCAACTTCTAGACAGAATCAAATAATTTTGGTATCAAAATTTGAGAATTGTTGTATGTGAATAATTTTAATAAAATTTAAATTTCTGCTTAATGGAGTGAATAATTTTGTAGTTAACGTTATTTTATTTTAGTTGTAAAAAGGACCTAATTTAATAACTACCTAGTGTAATTAATTAAATATGGTATCAAAAATAAAGAAATATTATAAAAATACGTCATAATTAATAAAACGGATATAAATTATTTATAAAATCGTTTGAAAATGGAAAAAATCTAAATTACTTAATTATTTTTAGGTTATATTTTATATAAATCAAATAAAATATTTCTTTCGGCAGGTTTTCTGTATACTAAATAATTTAAGTGTTATTTTCTTAGTTTTTTTACGGTACCATCATAGTGCGATTCCAATTGTTGCTTATTTTATAAGATGATACGTTTTTATTAACAAATTATTTTTTTTCATGAAAAAAAAATATTTTTCTGTAAAGTTCAATACATTGTCTCAGAGGGTATTAAAAAACTAGGTAACCCTTAAATTTTTAATAATATCGATTAAAAACTAACGGAGTTATTTACTATTTTGTGCAGTAAAAATTTCGCGGCTCGAATGTGCAAAAATACGAAAATTGATTTGAGCGACCTCTAAATATTCATCGAATTTGGATTTTTTGGTATCAATATTTTAGTTTTAATGTAATCTTTATAATTTAGGCCAGTGCGGGTTCATTTTTAAAAAAAGGCTTTTTTTGAATCACCCTAGTATGTAGCTCCTAAATATAATCTTCTTACAGAAAACCTACGAGCCCTTTTGTCAAATTATTGTCAATTTGAACGAATTTAGTCGACCATTTTAAGTCAGCCATTTTATTTTTGTAAATTTTGACCTAAAATTCCGATTCCTTGACCCCAAAAACCTAATACCACGTGAAGTGGTGACGATAGTTCCAGGAATAGTAAGAATGTTTTTTATGAATACATGCTGTTAAAGATATCAATAAAAAGATAAAAAGTGTTAATATCAAAATATAAAAAAATAATTTATGTTAACTTTGGCGCCCTCTATCTTTTTAGGAACTAATTAAGAAAGTTATAACAATTATGTTAAAGTTGTACATGTTTTGTTTCAACACTTTTTTATCCAACCAATAGGATAGATAAAACGATTTAAAACTTAAAAAAAGGGGTAAATCAACAAAGGGGGAACACGAAAATGTTACATTTTACCCTTTTAACCATCAGGAATAACCAAAATGTCCAAAATTCAGCCAGTTTGGAATTTTGTGATAGATTGACTGTTACAGTACTAAAGTGAGTAAAACTTCTTAATTAAAATTTTATAACTGTCATACTATGCCCAGTTTGTATATTGACATTTTTATGATTTAAATTATGAAAAACAAACTTTAGAGTTAAAATTTGGAAAACCTATCACCAAAAATCATCTATTTTAAGATTGTGATGTAAATACAAAGAAATATTTAATAGAAACCCACATTAAAAAAAATCTTTACTTTTTTTATTTAAACATATCTCAGGATCTCATGCATTGAATTCAACAACATTTTAGAAGCATTTCACCTTATTATGTGTACCATTATTTTTTTATTGTTTTTTAATTAAGCAAAAATTGATATTATTTTAATAAGCACAAAAAAATGTGTTAAAATTTCTCACCTAATAACTCCATCAGCACTTCTTAAACCTTGCAATAGTTGATCAATTACTTCTTCCACTTCATCAGGAACATCTATATTTTCCTCAATCTCTTCCTTAAGGGAGTTTGTATCCAAGCTTGTATCTGTTGAAGCATCTCCTGAGCTTAAATTTGCTGCTAAAGACCTATTGCCCCTTTTATACCTCCAGGCTGCAATACGAGGTGGGACAAAAGTCAAACCAATTCTCTGAATAATTTTGTACATTAATTTTTGCACACTTGATCCAGAATTGTTTTTGAATTCTGCATTTACAATCCACTCTAATAATTTTCTTGCATAAGGAAGTAAATCTTCTCTTTTGCCGTGTTTTAAAATTGTTGCTACACAAGCTAAAGTGCCATACCGAACAAATACAGGACAATGTTTAGCTGAACTTAACTCTATTGCCCAATCGAAAAAACTGGATAAATGTATTTCCTTTACATCACTTCTAGTTATAAATCGGTATGATAAAAATGCTGCTGCATCCCTACATTTATCAGAAACAACTGCATATTGCTTGATTATGTTTAAAACTCTAGTCATAACAGTTGTTTCCGATTCTTTTTCTTGCTCTGTAAATCCATCAAATCTGGACATATGAAATGGGATCATTACAATAATCGATAACCAAAGTAATAGTATGTATCTTGTGGTCCAGGTTTCCGGATCATTGGGATCTTGTTGTTCCAAAAGGTGTAAAACAGCTTCAAAATCTGCAACCTGTAATTATAATCTTTTTATATTAAACTACAATTACACCTCTAATATGAATTTAAAGAAAATGTGGATATTATTTCTAATTATTTATTAACTCACCTCGTGTGGTAAATGCCTAATTATAACTTTATAGCCCCTTACATTAACAATAACAAACATGTATTTGAATGTTAAATGCTTAACATTCATATCATTTTTATTATCTCTGATGATACTTATTAATTTTTCCAACAAGGGATCCAAATTTAAGTCTATCAAGTGTGGCTGTTCGATATATTTTCCAAGAATTGCGGAAAACTTCTCATATGCTCTTTCTTTTACAACCAAATCTGAATCACTTATTTCTACTATGTTATCAATCATTTTAAACACCTCCTCGGACTCGGAAAAATATTCCAGGGCACATCCCAATCCAAAAGGCACTTCATCTTTTTCAATTTCTTCGGGTTGTTGATTTGCCGACATTTTTTTAATAAATTGTTTGACAAATCTGTCAACCAGCATGTGGTTTTGTTTTTCTTCGGTGCTGACCTCTTAAATCAATTTTATGAGACATCGTCAAATGTTGTTTAGTAATATACCTTGGGTAATAGATGGCGCAAAGGTAGAAAATTTCAACTAAGATTTCTACTAGAAATCCTGCAAGATTTCTACTAGAAATCCTGCACTTCCTGTGGAAGTATGTGAAATCCTGCAAGTATAATTCCTTATGTTCTGTATATTTGTTGTATGGGTCCACACATGTGGAAGTAGGTACCTACCTATGTTAAATTCTGCATGTACTCACTTGAAATAAAAGTACTTACAGGCCTTAAAAGATATTTTAAATCTAGTTTTAATATTTTTTTAAAGACTTTTAGGTAGGTATAGGTATATGTACATTAATTATAAATAGCTTATAAGATGTAGGTCAGTGGCGGAACTTCGAAATTTGGCCCCCCACGCAAAATTCAATATGGGCCCCTTCCAACAACCTATAACTGGTGCGCGAAATACCTTGCCGGCGAAAAACCCCAGCAGCAAAAATAAATTAGGCAACGTTTCGTTTCTTTGTTTTGTAACTTTATGTTAACTTTAGGTATCTAATCTATGTTTATGTTTGTTCCAACAGCAGAATATGCCTAATATGCATTTATGTCTTGTCTAAGATGTATATTATATCTAATACTGTCGCCGCAGTATTTTTTTTAAACGTCAACAAAATTTGTAAAGAATTTAATTCTTACTAGTTTTGCCTATATTATTTATCTAAATACATATACTTATCTCAGGTTCTTAATCTTGTTAAAATAATTTAAGAAACATGTATGTTTTTTAAATTATTTTAATGGACCACCTATCACCCTGGCCCCCCCGCACTGCTCCCTTGTGCTCCTACTTGTTCCGCCACTGATGTATACATCAGTGTACCTATAGGCAGAGATCTCTGCTATAGGTACATATGTACTGATATCAGGCTTTGTTATCTATGCTGTTATCTAACAAAATCGTAATGGTAATAGCCATAGATTAATGGCCCTTTAAAAAAATACCTTTAATGAACTTTAGTTTAGTTAGCCTTTAGTTCGTTAGTTATAACTTTAATGGACCTATATAAGTGCAATACACGTGGTTTCTAAAGACAAAAATAGGAATAAATCTTATTAACATAGGTCGGCAAAGGGCCCCTATAAGGGAGCTGCATCCTCTTTTTTATTATTATTTCCGAAACAGTTAGATAAAATGTTAACATTATGTATGCTTATAAGCATACTTTTTAAGCTGAATTAAAAAAAAACAACAAAATTTAAAATTTTTATTTATGATTTTATTAAACAGGGGCGGCCTAGGGTATTTTTGTGTGCAATTTTTTTGCAAGTTGGCTGCAAAAAAGGTACTCGAACATCGATAAATGCAATTTTTTTTCAAGTTGGCTGCAGAATTTAAAAATTGAAAATTTTTTAGGTAAAAAAGTACTCGAACATCGATAAAATGCACCATTTTCGAATAAAAATAAAATACCAAATTTAAAAAAAAATGTTTTTTTTTTTCATTTTTAGTTTAGGAAATATTATTAATATTCCTTATACATATACAAGAAATATTAATAAAAGATACACATATAAAATCCGTATTTTTCATGCTGTACACAGGGGGTCATGACCCCTTAAACCAAGAATATATAATGTAGTTATGTATATATTCTTGGTTTAAGCGGTAACAATACGAAAATTACGCGTTTTAGATTATTTTACGGGAGACAATTAATAGTATATTGTGCTACTAGAGGGGGACATTGAAACACCAAATGGAAATTTGGGCTCAAAACGCACTAAAAAAGTGCTAAATCACTAAATCTGGCAATGCTCTATCGCAATGCATTGATCTGTTTTTTCTTGATTCCCGCATATTAAAAATCACAAATTTAGGCAACTAAATGTACAGCTGGCAGCAGACGCCATTTTAATTCTATAAAAATTTCAGTTTCAAATAAAAACCACAAAACTACTGCAGGATTCATAATTTACACTACGAACAACTAAATTATCCCATGGGATAAGTAAGCACACCTGCATTTGGACGCCCAGAACACAATTCGGCAGGTAGACCAGGAATGTCTGGATATATAGGAATAGGTTCAGGGATATATAGGAATATTCCTATATAGGTTCAGTCCTGAAATCCTCTGAATGGCAAGATACTTTATCACACTCAATTATCTAGCAAATCCTCACTCCACATTGTATTAAACTGTGTTCAGCCCACGTACAACTAAATATTGCAACCCATAGCTATTTATAGTTAGCTCACGTGCGTAAGCAGCCGTGAGATGTATCGCTTATGCCGCGGCAGGCCGTATTCCGGCCGAACAATAACCGCGGTAACCTAACGTACGCGGGCCGGCTGGGGCAAGCTGAACCGCTTGTGCCGCGGTACATTCTTCTAAAGTTCAGCTTTGGCTAAAAATGTCAACTTTAAGTTATGGAACTTTGTATAGATTTTAATGGGCCATTATATAACCAGATGTATGTTTTGGTGGTAGGTAATAAAATATAATTATATTTTAAATTAGTTAAAATGCTTACATTCAATATTATTATACATCCAAATTTAAAGAACTACAAGTACATTTTTTTGTAAACATAAAAATTAATGATGAAGGACAACCTAAATATTGCACTAGAAAAAAAATTTAAATATCAAGGAATTTAGTCTGATGAAAATGTTATTTTTATTTCATACATATTTTATTTTTAAAACTTAAACATCTATTTAATTAATACATATTTTTTTATCATTAAAAGGACATTTGTAGGCAATTTATAATGAATATTGCAATAATATTGTATTAGCACGTTTGGGCGTGACCGTCAACATAAATAATTTACTAAACACCCGCAAGGAATATGTAATTTCGTGACCCTACTGAGTCGCTGATACTTTAAATGCTATTTTGACCACGGGCTGAACTTAGCTTTAAGTTAAAATTGGAAAAAGTGAGGTTTAAACTGTTTGACACCTTCTTCAGATGTCAGATAAAATATAAAAATAATTGGCTTTAAATAGTTAAATAAAATAGTGTGTGCGACTTCTTTTTCTATGGCCAAAATAGGAGATTCCACTCGCAAACCACGTTCGAGGAATCTCCTCTTTCTCCCACTAGTCACACAATATACTATTAATTAATTAATTAATTAATTCATACTAAATTCATACTAAAATAAAAAAAAAGCAAAAACAATACAATATAAGTAATGCCCAAAATAGGAGATTCCACTCGCAAACCACGTTCGAGGAATCTCCTCTTTCTCCCACTAGTCACACAATATACTATTAATTAATTAATTAATTCATACTAAATTCATACTAAAATAAAAAAAAAGCAAAAACAATACTGTAATGATGCCCCAGCCTCCATATTCGCTAGACATGCCTCTGTCTGACTTTTTCCTATTCCCAAAAATAAAGAGAACCTTAAAGGGCAAGCATATATATGCTTGCAAAACGACGGCCCTTTAAGGTTCTCTTTATTTTTGGGAATATCTATAGATAACATTAAAAGCGCATCGCTGAAAGAACTAAAGGCTATCTCAAAGATCGAGTTTTAGAAGTGTTTCGAGTACACCTCGTAAAGCAATATTGCTCTCTCAGCCGTTTCGGAGATTAGCCCGGACAAACATTTTAACACTTTAATTTTATGTATAAAAGATAGATAGAAGATGTATGGATAACAACCAAATAAAACCCCGAACAAACGAATCGCCCACAAATGTAAAACATATAAGTATAAATATAAAATATAACATCTGACATAATATAATATAACACATTCATAAAAAACATGTATATTCACATTTATTATTTTGATCTAATTAATGAAAAATAACCATGGAAATTTTTTAACGACAAAATTTTAAAAAACTTCTGCCAGATTGACTAGATGAAATGTGTGTGATCCAAAAGTGAATGAATAAAATAGATGAAAACCTTATTTGAGTACCTAGTATTGTTATTTCCTCGGTTATTTTAAGTTTTCTTCTCATCCCGGCACATTCGCCATTTTTGACATTTTTTTGGAGTTTCACTAATTTTTTAACCGCTTTGACTTTTAAATTTATTAATAATAATATTATGCTTGGTTTTAGTAGGTAAATAAAAAGCTTCTATATTATTGTATTTGATTTATTGTAAAAAAAAAGATTAATGCATAATCGGCCTTGGTCATTTGTATAAAAATCGAAAATAAGTCATATTTTTGCACGATTAAACGATACCCTGAAATTGTAAAATCAAAACATTAAACGTTTAAAAAATACACACTAACCTTTGGTTTTTGTTGTGGTCAAAATCTGACATACATAATTATGTCTATTATGTCAATATCGAATCGCTTAATAATAAACAAATTAAAACAGCGCCAGTTTTGTACATCTTATAAGTTAAAAGACCACTTAGAGGGAATTTTTTTCAGTAAAAAAATATAGGTAACAATTATGTTTTTACCATTTTTTATTTATTTCAAGGTTTTTAAAATTAAATTTCTACAAAACAATAAATCTATTGTGTTCTAACACAATTTTCGAATATTGTTTCTACAAAACAATAAATCTATTGTGTTCTAACACAATTTTCGAATATTGTTTCAAAAATAAAATGTTAATATCTTTTGAATTAATAACAAAATTATAATTTATGATTGACAGCAGCTGTCCTACAATACATCGGTCAACCATCAGCCTCATCAACCTCAGCTAGCTCTTGATGTATATAGAGTTGCTATAGCTATTTTTGTATGCAGGGTGGTTCAAAAGGAACCTTTTAATTTAAGAATCAATAAAAAATGTTAAAACGTTAAAAAACGTTAAATAGTATATGCCATTATTTATGGGTCTCGAGTTGTCAGACGCCAGATTTTAAATTAAAAATAAAACTACAAAAAATTATTTTTAATTTAAATCATTGAAGGAGTAGATCGAAATTTCATTATTTGAACCATGGAGCCTATACTGGGTAGGCTCCATGATTTAAACTAACTAAAAGTAGACGTCATAAGGGAAATACAGT